TGTTGAAAAAAAAAATTTAAAAAAAAAAAAAAAAAGAAGAATTTGTAAACTGGTGACCTGCAGTTATGTTTTGTCTGGCTCACATGTGTATGAAATTTTTTTGGATTAGAATCGAAGTGTTTCACTTAAAAAAAAAAATCCAGATTTCCAGCTTCTCTCATAAAAACAGATCTGGCAGTTGCTGACCTTAAACTCTACATGGTATCAGTCAGCTGGTGCAGGGCATGTGCGCTCTTCTTATTTGTTTCCCTGGATCTCTTGTTTGTTTATTTTCCCTGGACCTTCTCATTCATTCACTTCCTGTGCCTACAGGTATTTGAATTTGAGGACCCAGACATGAGGCCTGCTTAGAGGCTTGCTGCATCCTTAGTCTTAGCAAAGATCCCAGCATAGTATCCATACTTTAGCAAGGGACAAGACAGCAGCAGGGGAGGACCACCCGGCTAGAGCCGTCTGTAGTAGGGGGGAATCCTCTGAACTTGTCCCCTGTCAGCCTGCCAGGTGATCTACAAAACACGCTGTGGCTGTGGCTCTTTTCTTTGGTGTGATCATGGGTCTCTCGCTCTTCTTGATAGATGTGTTTATTTGTGGGGGCTATAATGGAGAAGTGATCCTGGGAGACATCTGGAAGCTGAATCTGCAGACTTTTCAATGGGTGAAGCTCCCAGCTACCATGCCAGAGCCAGTTTATTTTCACTGTGCAGCTGTTACACCAGTAAGTTTTTGTTTTCATATCTTCCTTACATAGTTGCAGATGATAAATCTTTACAGTGATATTAGCGAGAAAAAAAGATTCTGATATTACCAACCTTGGATAAAGAATGTGTTTCTAAAACTTTCTTCTAGACAAAGCCAGCCCTTCTTCTGAGAAGAGGGGAGAAAAACCATCATACACAGTTTAAAAGAGCAGCAGAAATATAAAAGAAATGCTGTGCGTGGCATTTAGGCCCCTGCAGTGACATAAAAGGTGTTTTCTGGGAGGGCAGGATAGCTCTAGCCCCCCGATGCCTTGTTCTTAAAGATCCCACCAGTTTCTCAAGGCAAAGACCTTTATTTTCATCTTTGTGTTCCTAGTGTTTGGCACAATGAATACTTAATATAATGTCACTTTAATGTTCGTTGAAGTAAAAGAAAAAAAAGAAAAGAAAAAAGCTACAGTTTTCCCCTAGTAAACTCATTTATTATTTAAACGCCTCTTGATCTCTGCACTATGTTGGGATCAGTGAGAAATTCTTTTTGTTTTGCCCCGTCTCCATTTGGCCTACTGTGCACTTTGTCGCTGACTCTTCAGCCTAAGTTACCTGCTTCTCTCCCATTTGAATTTGTCCTCTTTTGACTGCCGTCTGTTCATAGGCTGGTTGCATGTACATTCATGGAGGAGTGGTGAACATCCATGAAAACAAACGGACTGGGTCACTGTTTAAGATCTGGCTGGTGGTGCCGAGCCTGCTGGAACTGGCATGGGAGAAGCTGCTTGCAGCCTTCCCCAACCTAGCAAACCTCTCCCGCACACAGCTTCTGCACCTTGGACTCACACAGGGACTCATCGAGCGCTTGAAATGAGGATGTCTGGACTGTTCATTGATACTGGAAATGTTAATTTAAAGAGACTCCTTTATTTATGGGCAGTGTAGAATTGGTTACCCTGATCAAGGCCTTATTCAGAAAATACATCAGATGCCTTTCTGTAAATTGGTTTTAAGTTTATGGCAATCTCACTTTCCCTCGTGCTTCTTTCTTTGCTTCTCTCCCTCCCGCCTCAACACACACACATACTCACATACTCTCTCTTCCTGGATGGACTTGAGGGAAAGTCTGAAAGTACCTTAACAATGTTATGAATCATGATCAGATAAAGAATTTTTTAAAGGGTCTCTGAAACTATGACCATGTCAGCCAGTGCTCCACAAATTAAAGCAGCATCACTGACAAAAACAAATAAAATTTTAAAAAATGTAAATGCAGCAACAACAACAACAGCAACAAGAAGGCTGACCTCGAGAGTTGTGCAGGTTACACGCCAACCTAGACGTCGAACTTGCTGTTTTCCAAGACGCCTCTAATTGCGTGGCTGCATCTGATGGCAGCACCGGCTGACATCTTGCTGCGTCGATACCCAAACCCATCCTTTGACTTTGGAGGAAAGTCAGGCGGCTCAGCGACTCTTGATCGGTGATTTCTTTCCACGTTCTTCTGGTGCCAGCAATGGTTAGATTTGGCTGTCAAAAGGCTTGTGTGTGTGTGTTGTAGTTGTGCTGTTTATTGTTGCTCTTAGAAATTGTGGCACCAAGAACGTTTCAAATCAAGGAATTGATGGTGGTCAAAGTTCTTTGTTCTGGGCAGTTTTGAAATTCCCTTGTGCTTATAACTGGTTTCAAGTGTCTCTGACTTCTTCGTTGGGGGACTTGTAGACCCTAAATATGTGGCATAAACGCCATGGGGCGTAAAAGTAAGCTTGTGAGAGGCCAGAAAAGAGCAAGGCGGGGAGGGCTTCAGCTCCAGGCTGTGAGCTTTGACCATCATATTGGCCGTTTCCTTTTCAGAACTTGAACACTGGGCCACGCACCTGCCATTTTCTCAGGCAGTGGGTTTTATCTCTAGAAAGCCAACTGGCCCTTGATTTTTCCCTTAGCTTATTGCCTCTTTTTTGTCTGCTTTAATGTGCATGGTGCTGTGAGTAATTGTCTAGTTATTGGATAAAAGGTCTTGGGGGAAAAGCCACAGGCCATCCTTCCCAAAGAACTATTGTTTTCAAAACTAGCATGAGGAAGGAATGAAGCTGAAGATCATTAGTTTTTTGGTGTGACATTTTAGTTCTGGTTTGTTTTGTATTTTCACTCTAAAAAAAGGAGTGACCTGAATTTTCACTTCTTTGCCATCAGGCTGCTAGAGTAGTTGAGCAAGTCACTGAGACGTGAACATTTGGAAGTCCTCAGGTGTACGAAAGGTGCGGAAGGCATACAAGAAGGCACAGTGCTGATCATCCCGTTGGTCACCTCACAACAGGAGACTCAGACGGGAGATTTGGGACACATTTTTCCTTTAAGTGCCTCTTTTTCACTTAGCTTTTAAAGTTACTCTTCTTTTTTCCTTCATCCCAGAAGGGATCTCTTTAGCTCATGTGTGGATTTAAAATCACCTTTGAGTTATGGCTAAAAAGTCACCCTCCAGTGTTGAGTTCTGGGGAAGAGAAAACTGTGGTCTCTAGACTTGGACTCTTAACTTCCATGCCTTATTAGAACATCCCATCCATGTTGGGTTGAGTTCATGGAGCCCAAATTCTGCAAGGTCTTATGATACCACTCACCTGTGAGTTTGGGTCCTTTTGGGGGAATGATGGGTGTGGGGCAGAGGCAGGACAAGGAGCAACTCCTCTAGAGGTGCCACCCCCATCTTGCCACGACCAAGTCTGTTTGACATTTAACCTCTTACCGCCCACTGCTAAGCTTACTCCAGTGAGGAGCTCTCTCCGGAGCAAGTCAGGTTGAACAGCCCCATGAGCTCAAAACAAAGCTTTACCGCACGACTCCAGCCTGGTCTCTGGATATTCGGTGGACTATATCCAGTTAAATAAGCTGTGCGGTCTAGGGTGGCGAAAGGGTATTTGTCATGGATTTACGTAGGGACCAAAGCCTCAGTGCTCAGCCTCTGTGCTTACCCTTCCGTGCTCCTTGGGAAATAAGCAGGTCTCTAGCTTTGCTACACTGGAGAGCTAGAAAGAGAGTCTAGTTCAGTCCACACTTGCTAGCAAAAAAGATTTAAGCCTTCTGAGGGCAGTCTTCTTTGAGGTAGACTTTGGAGGCCTGACATCCAAGACCTTGTGTGTGACATTTTTATAAAAGTACATACCCTTGGTCTAAAGTGTCGTCTTTTCATATAACACTAGTGAAAGCGATGTAGAATGACCAGCTCTGAGTGCTATAGAACCACACATATGCACATGTTCTGGATGCCAAATGAGACTGTGTGTATGATGACTTAAATATAGATGAGCAGAATTTTATATAGGGGGTCCCCGACCATTTAGTATCCCTATAACCAGCACCCTGAATTCCTGACACTGTTACTTGGTTTAGGAAAGTTTATGCCTGCTGCTCCTCTGCCTCTTTGAGGTACTCCCTGCCATCTTACTGCAGTCCTGTAAATTTAAGTGCAATATATAGAAACACATATGGATATATACAGATTATATATAGGGTGTAACTATAAAGCAGGTAGACTACTTTTTTTTTTTTTCTTTTTTTTTGAATCTGCCTTGGGGAAAGGCAGCTCATTCTTTTAGAGTCAACTTATACCAAGAATTTGAGATGTGACCAGCTAGCGTAAGCCAACTCTTGGTCAATCTGGATTTTCAGGTCCTTGTTTTCTTACTCCAGTTCTTAAAGACTTCTTATTCCTTGGGTTTGTTAGAGTTGAGACTTTCCCCCAGTCATCTTTTGTACTGTCTCATGTTTGCATATCTTACTACATTTCTTGCCCACGAAAAAAGGAAGTCTACCTGTAAGGAATTTCTAAATGGAGAATTAAAATCTAATATTTAATACTGTCAGCTTTCCCATGTACATACTAATTTATCTGTGAATATAAGACTTTATTAAACGAAGAAAATGAGGCTTTCTTCATTTAATAAAATATTTTCCACATTCTGGAAAATCTTATTAACCAATATAGAATAGAATGAAATTTTCACTGTTCTTCAGGGGCCAAACTGAAATCCTTTCCACTGGCAGAGTTTTTTTTCAGGGCCCTCGTGACATGGTGTAAAAATTTGCTCTAAATTATTCATGTCCATCACATAGCTAGATTTAAACATATGATGATAAACATTAACATTTCTAAGCAAAAGGTTTATTAACAGTGACCTTTGGTTACCCAGAGTAGCAAGAGTAAAGCACAGATAATTGAAACTCATAGATAATCAGTGTTTCAACTTTTCTATCAAACAATTGATCCATTTATATTCTTCCTCCTCCTTACCCCTTTCCCACAAGCACCTCCTTTTCAGTGGAGTAGGGCTAATAAGTAGTTAGAAATGAAAACGAAGAGTCACGGAGGGCTAGAAACCAGCAAGCATATAGGCAGCCCTATTAGCTGTAATTGTCAATTTGATGACAGCTGTTGAATGCTGAAATTAGGACCCACGGGTGGTAATCCTGAGTTGAGATGTTAACTCTTCACTCCTCTGCTTCGGCACGGTTTTCCTGCCCTGAGTTCTAGGCTGTCTCTCCCATAACCACCAAAGAACTCTTAGCACCTAGAGGAAGAAAAAGCTGCTGTGTGTGATGCAGAGGGAATCCCATCATTTGAACACATTTCTTTGGCTCTTGACAAATACTTGCTTTTCCTCTGTTCTTGCAGGAGCCTTATTTTTTCCTTTGGGAATTCCTTTTCCAGCCATATAGCTTGGCATGTAGGAAAAGGTTGAATTACCCTGTAAGTCTGTGTTGGTCTTAATTCTGTAAAACCAGTTTGTTTTTATGTGGTCTTACAGATGTTTAGCAGGTGGCACCGTTACTATAAATCGTCTACCTGCCAGCACTCTGATGTAGCACAAGAAGCCGTTTTCCTTATTCTTCATTGTTCTGGCGTTGAGCTCCAGGCCGGATGAGGGCTTACGGTCCCGTGATCGCGAGCTCCAAAAACTGGTCACTGTTAGCTTAAAGTGCTTTGGTTCCCCAAATTCCTCGGGACTCTAGGGGCATTGGCAGGGCCTGAGGCCGGCTTCGTAGAGCTCTGTACCTCCCGTGTGTGCCGCCGCGGGTCGTGCCCAGTGATGCTGCTTCCCTTCTGAGGTCACTGGGTTTGGTGGGAAGCGACCTCTTCTCTTACCTGGTGTTACAAAAAGGAGTTCTGAGTTGTGCTTCAAAAGTGGTACCATCTTTTTAGTTGTGATTTTCATGATTTTATTTTTTTTCACTTCATAGAAGTTTTTGAAAGGCCCTGCTTAGTCAGTGCGCAGGGTGAGTCCGAGGCAGTCTCACTGAGCTGTAGTGATTGCTGTTTTACTAGTTGCACATTTAGAATACAAAGGAGGCATCAGAAACACACTGACTTTCTCTGAAGCCGCTTCCTTGTACACAGAGTCTGAGCAGGGACAGCGCCAGGCATTTCCCTGTAAAGGCACCTGCCGATGAGGATTTGACTGGAAGAACCTAGGCAAGAAAGGGGAACCTCTCACGCAGTCCCTGAGGGCAGGCCTGGGCTTGGCTCTTTGTACAGGGTGTGCTTAGGCCACACACGATGCTTGCCTTACTGTAAAGCTATTTGCCACAGTCCTGTTAAATAGTGTGGAAGTCCTTTTGCAGTCTGGTGTGCATGCCATATGATCAGGACAGCTTTTCCACCTTATTTGGTCTCCTACGAGCACGTAGGAAAAATAGTGAATTTACCCTAAAATGTCCAATCTGTATTTATGTACCTTGTCAGTGTTTTGCTGTTGGTTTTCTAAAACAATCTGATCAATAAATCTTATCCAAATCTATTTGGCTCAAGGCTACCTTGATTGTGGGACGGTGATTTGCATGTATGCGAGCTCACCTCTATGACGTAAGCATCAGTCTGCC